ATCTTTAGATAGTAATGTATCTTTAGATGTGAAATCTCTGCATTTGATTGATGGACAGCTTCAAAATTGACCTTGCCTCGCCTGACCAATGGTCTTTACAAATTATCAGTGTAATATTTGATCGGATATGCATTGGTTTTATTCCATCATTGTAATTGGCGTTGACCTTTTTCTTTAGCAAGTTATGTGATGACGTGGATGAGGTAGCTAAATAATTTGCTGCCATTGGAGTTTTTTTTATTCATCCAAAATGATTAATTAGCTGATAATAATATAGGAATGGGAATGGATAGCAACGCCTATTGCAGTCTTTTATCTGCCCCTTCCTTCCTTCAGTCTTTTCAGCCAATCTCATCACATGCATTTCATTTTGTTTGTGATAAAAATGTCCAGCAACTCGTCATGATAGGTCAGACCTTCTTCCAGATTTAATAAAATTTCATTCTAGTATCTTATGATTTTTAATTCATCTTTCATTTGTATTCATCGAAGCATGAACATTTTAATTCCCTTCTGGAGAGATCATTGAACCAATATTTTCAAAATCAAAGTTACATGAAACAGATAAATTAGTTAACGAGATATTTCAATTTTTTGTAAAAATCTCAATATTATCATCACGTGCAGTGATCTTACAACGCTTTGTCTCTTTTCCTGAAAAAATATCGAACAGATGTAAAGTCAGTACTTAATATTTCACAACTATCTTTATTTTTTGACCTCTAAATTAAAGAAGCTTTTCCTTTACTCAGTCACTTTCTTGTCAGATATTATACTTTTAAGGGTCTTTAAGCTTACTCAAAAGCAATTTATAATTGAAAGAAGTCTCTATGACCCGAATGATAATAGCTCAACTGCTTTCTTCTTTTTTGAATTGACGGAACCAGTTCCATCTTTCTTTTTTCAAAACAAATCCCTCATGAGTGTTCTTCCATTAATTACATTAATTAATTTTTTTTTAATTAAATTCCATTAATTAATTTTTTCCATTAGTTATGTCACGGGGAAAAGATCTGTTAATATATCTAGCGCTCACACCCGTTTTACGCATTTTAATGCACTCTTCCCTGACGACAATATCGCAATCAGCTTTAATTGGCCGATACGTGTCAAAAATTCTTTAAAAGTATTGGACTGTGGGAGGTATCACAATCAGAGGAGTGAGGAGAGAAGAATGTGTCGCCCCTCCATAAACGACGTTGCATTCCTCATTGTAGTGGTACCACATAATACATTCCATTCCCTCCATCCCTTAAATCAGTCTCCTTTCATCCTTAGCTTTGTATCAGTGAGTTGCAGTTCTCTCTTCTCTTCTTTCCCTCAATAAACAGTGCTATTAATAAAGATGAAGAGTTCAGGTTTTCCCTAAGTTTCACTTCCCATCATTCTTCATTTTCATTCAAATACTATTTTAAGAAAGAAGTTATTTCTTTATGTGTAGAGATAGCATCTACCTGTTCCATCCCGGCTGTTTTGCTGTGCCGTGGTATTTCCCTCATCTGGGATGCTGTGAGGACACCGGGATTTGAGGAGAGCGCAATACAGGTGAAATATTCGGTTGATGTGTGATACCCGCCAAGAATAACAAGTAATTGAAAACGCTGACATTGCTATCAGTGCATTTTTCAATCTACTTGCTCAGTGATAGGTAGTTAATGATGCAGACATGACAGTGGATGGAAGCCAAAGGTTATGCCAGGAAATCTGCAAAAGTTGAATAGCTGAAGAGTAATAAGTTCGGTAGTTTAAGTTAAACCTTCTATTTTAAATTTTCAGCTCAGTCTATCCTGATAGCTCTGTCTTATCATATATGTGGGTGTTGTTAATGCAAAAAGTTGTCGCAATAATTAAAGCCAAACGAGTCGCCCAATTCATTTCCCCGTCAAACCAGCTCTTGACCCATCTCTTCTTTCGGATTACTTCTTTTCGATATCAATTCCAATCACACCGAAGACGGCAGAAGTGTGTTCATAGCAGCACTATTTCTTCGCAGAGTTGCCGTTTACCTTCTGTTACGTTTGACGCTCTATTGACGTGTGACCCTTTCCCAGATTTGCAATCACCTCTCTCTGGATTAACTACTATGGACTTCGGACAGTCAGGGGGTAGGGAGAAAGAAAGAAGCAGAGCAGGTAAGTGCATTACCTGTGACATAATGTATCGCCTTTCAAGTGTATCTGGCCAATATCTCCCAAGGTGTCTGACGATAGTGCAGGAGAGGAGATGAGAGAATACAGGATAGAGGAGCAGAGCAGGCGAATGAGTGAGTGAGTGACTGTTGGGTGTCCATCAACCCTCTCTCGTGCATTTCTCTCTCTCTCTTCCTGCTCTCGTCCTCTGTCTCGTACACATACTCTACCAACATGCTACAGCAGGCCCGCATTATGAAGAATCAATAGGGAGCAACTATCAGGTTTTTTTGAGCTTGTTTCTTTCCGATGCGATGTGGGAGTCATCGTCTCGTTAGGAGAGGATTTAGCCTTTCGTGATAGGGCGGGGTGCAGCTTCTGGAAGGTCCAAGAGCGTTTTCCATTATCTCTGCTTCAAAACAGAAAAGCTTAATGATCCAAAATAGAAAAATTTAATGATTTCGTTTGCTTTGAAAGTATCTTTCCGATCGGTCAAATCAAATTTCTAGTTATTGGTAAGTTGAAATAGGACAAAGTGAGTGGAAATTTGTAGATGAACAGTGGTCACTGTGACACACAGGAAACTGTTGACTCAGAAAGTCAGATTCAGAAGACAATGGATGATGAAGATTCGGAGCCAAGGATAGCAAGGATTCGAGAGAATCTTGTTGGTAAGTAACTTCTAACAGTACTGGTTAAAATTATATGCTTCTTAGTTGTAATTCTCTGCTAACATCTTCATTTCTTACTTGCTTCCAGAAACTACCTATGGGGAGGGAGCAAGTGGTTAACATAAGTGGCATTATTTGAAATTAATTGAGGATAAAAGTGAGACTGGATGCAATAGCTCTGAATTGTGGTTATGAAAGTCTCTAGTATTTTGGATATTATTAGTTCGGCGGCCGAATTTTTCCACCAACCGATTGTTATACCATTTCCATTCCAAAATATGTGAATATATTATTTTAAGCCACGATCGTAAACAGGCCAGTTTGTCAAGTCTTATGGAAATTTTCACACTCAGTTATCAAGATCTGGAAGATGCCACTGATTTTTCTTCTCGATCCTGATGAATGATGCAGAGATAAAAAAAACTTATAGAAATATGTAGTAGACATGGTTTTCTTTTTGTATCTCCTCCCTCCCCTCTACAACTCATTCCAATCAAACATGTTCTACAGTTAATTTTTTTGGAGTTGATGAGCACGTGAATAGGCTATAAATGTTGTGCAAGACATATAGTAAGATTATTTGACAGTCTTACTAGCTAAAATTGTTAGTACTAACTAATGTTATAGGTTATTAGCTATTTTCGATCGTAAATGCGCAGAAAAAAGTTTCGATCCAATTTAGGTAAATAAGGTGTCTGTCTTTGCAACTGTGCTGCCCTATTGCTGCAATAAATTTTTACTTAGTTAAATTGTTGAAGTCGTTTGTTTTTTTGCTCTTAAAAAACTTCAGGTGTTTTCCCAATTTATTCCATATTTGGCTGCGACATTGTACACGCATTTGGTCTGCACTCAAAACCCTTACATACCGGTCATTTCAGTAATGTGATTGTTAAAGCATGCTGTAGGACACTAATTCAAACTTCGCAAATTGCTGTTCTCTTTAGTTCTCTTTCCATGATGCATTCACTACCTTCAGAAAATGAATATTGGCTAACATGCAAGAAGTACAGAAGTTCTCAAGTTTTGAAAAATTTTGTAGATGGTTTGGGTCCGTTTGATGTGATGGCTGATATTATTGTTGGCTCACAACATGGTCCAAATAATTCGGGTTTGTTTGGTGTTGTTCAATCGCCAATTAGGCCATTACGTCCATGTTTTGTGCCTTCATCATCGATATCGTCAACATCAGAGTCATATTTGACTGCCACTCAAATGGCACAGGTTATGTATTTTTCTAAAAAAAGTTTCTTAAGTCCCATGAATCGAACTAGCTAACTATGGACTAACAAAAGTATTTATTAAATGTAGGACGTGTTTTGAGAAGTTTGTTACAACTAGTAATTATCCCGAAATGTTAAACAATTGTAACTTGTTACATTAATTTTTCTCTCTCTGTTGAGTTTAAAATACTGACATTCATTTGATGCTAAGTTCTTTGAAACATCTGTATGCTGATCAAGGGCATATGGAGTGGGAGCGTTTTATGTCACCAATACTTCTTATGGTTACTTTTAGCGTTTCAAGATTAAAACAAACTATGCGCGCTGAGCGGTTGCTTCCAGACAGAGAAGTAGAAAAAATGAAGTCTAGGCAGTGATACTTTAAAATTATTTAAAAAAAGATGCCTGGTACAATTTGTTTTCTTTAGAAGATGCAAAGTATTATTGATGTGCCATTATCAACAATCCATACTAACCTTCCATTTAAAAAGGTTTGTTTATCAGTTACATGCATTGAAACAGGTCACACTGTACTCTTGGTTTTTCATTCGCTTTTTATTACAGAAAGAATATCGTTTTCAATTCTATGCAATTACTTTACTCCCAGTAATGAAGCATTAAAGAAACAAATTTAGAGAGAAGGGAGAGAGGTGAGGAGCACGTATATCTGAGTTAACTGTAACAAAGAAACGCCGATGTTAGCGTATTGAAAAGACTTAGTTTGCTGGACTTACCAAGGTGTTAAGCTATAATGTTTAATGTGAAATTGATGCTTATTGGTGATATTTTTCCGAATCCCAAAATACGGAATGAAATGCGTGATCTTCCATCCATGTATAATTTATTTTATTTGGAGGACTGCAGCAAATAATCGATCGTTTAACCTGTATTAAAAAATGTGAAATTCAGAACCAAGAACGGAAAAATAATTCAGTGCGAGGTTCGGAAGCAAATATACCGTCTGCTAGCTTCATGAATACTGGTGTTGGTAGCAGCAGACCTTCAACAACTTCAAGTCGTACTGATCATAGTTCATGTAGGAAAAGGAAAAGGAGGAGGTATTTTCAGGAAATTTGTTGTCTGGACTGGATTTTCGTTCATTTTTTTTTGTCTTTTTTGTCATTGAAAAAATTGGAGCTAAAATTCGTAGGAACTATATCAATTCATAAAATAATTTTGCAGAAGTGATTGCAACAACATGGACACCGAAAACTGGCAGAAACCATGCACAAGCAGTACGGCAGCAAAAGTGAATGTTTTATATATAGAAAGTTAAAATGAGGGGATGTTTGAAAAAGCACAAAAATGATGTGTATAACAAACAAGAGACGGAAATATTGCTGTTACCAGTGCATCAACATCTGATCATTGTATGCAAAACAACGAGGACTTTTCGTGATTTAGTAGTGTTTGGTATAAATAAGACATAATTTTATTGACTTTATTGAACGGTTTTAGCCTAAAAGGAATTTGGATAATTAAAACATTTAATTTACATTAAAACTTACATTTTGAATAATTTAAACTTAACACAGTAAATGTCGTAAATTCGTGAAGAATTCAGTGAAGTCAGACTACCATCTGAAGTGATTTTATGACTTTAAGTTTTCAGTTCTTTAAAATGAATGATTTTTTCTTTAAGTGATTCTTTAGATCAGTTTCTTTAGATGGAATGCGATGATAATAGAATGACGATTAGTGAGTTATTTGGTGAAGAAAAACTGGAAAATGGAAATGCAAAGAAGCGACCTATCGATATGTTGAAAAACATGGAAAAAAGATGGTTAAGTGGGAGAAAGAAGAGCAAGAAAGTCCGGATTCTGGATTTGCTGATGAAATAAACGATCAAAATCGCGAACAGTTTCATCGACCGTAACTTTTTTATGCAAGATGTTGTTTGTGACGGGAGTTAATTGACATTCAGTTAATGGAAATTTGGAAAAGGCAGGATTGGTTTAAGTTCAGAACCATCACAATATGAGTAGGCCTAGCAAAATATCAGACCAGTTTTGGCTCTATAGCCCAGTCATTACCGGACTACGACGCCGAAACTGGTCATTTCTTTTTCCATACTTAATTTTCACATCTCTGGCATAAATAGTGTTCATGCTATGGTTCGCGTGAATGGTAATCGGTTTATTAGGCTAACTTAATTAGCAACGAGATGTTTAATTTTATGTTATCAAGTACGGAGAGATTAGATCAAGATTGCTATATAAAGGGAAAGAAAACTTTTTTAATAAGTGTTCTTAGCAAAAGCAAATTTTTCAAATAAATGAGAGTATTATGTTTTATCTTGATTTCAGGCGCTTACAAACCATTATTGGCGAACTGGGTCATATTTCACCACTATTAACTCCACCACGACAACCACAAAAAAATGACGGTCCAACACTTCCAGTTGTCATAAATCTTAACCGCTTAGATTCAGCACAACTTCTGCGAATCAAGAATGTGTTTATTAAGAATGCTCCTGCTGTTAGTTTTTTGACTCCTAGTCGCTAACCTGATGTTAATGGAATAAGTTGTCAGAGAAGGTATGACATAGGTTAAAGTGATGAATTCCAGTTCACATTCAATCACAGTGAGTGGATTTTTAAGCGTAATAAATTCATACTGGTAAAGAAAGACTGAAACAGCAGAGAATCGATAAAATACGCCTTAACAAAAATCTAAGACATGAATTGCAAATTTGATAATATTTTAAAAAATCAGTCATGTTTCAGTGTGAATCAGTCGTGTTTCAGAGTCAGTGTGAATCAGTCACGTTTCGAAGTTTATATTAGCTACAGTCATACAAATTTGTTATTATTATAGTTTTTGTCAACAGTCGCTCTGCCGAGTTGTGTTCTATCACCTCCAGTGCGGCCAACATCACGAAACGAACGAGATAGAACGTTACAACTCTGCGATTCGGATTTTAAACCGGTCCCAAAAATTGACAGCATTGGCAGCAGCGTTACCAACTGTAAAAAACAAATTATTCATAGTGCAGGTGCAACGCCATCGTCATCTTCTACGAAAGATTTTAAAAAGGTATGTAAATTCGAAGGTAGAATAGCATATCTTAGTATATATAACATCTTGATTCTAGAAAACTTTTTACAACCTGAAAACTAGGGTAAATGATGGTGTTTCTTCATTTATTGTTGGTTGATTTTGTCATCAACTATTGAAAACTGAGAACAAAACTGAGCCAATTATTATTTTTAGTTTCCTTGATTTTTATGCTTGTAGCGAGATGGTAGAGCAGCCAGATGAACCATTTTAAAAAACCAAGCCTGTACATCAGTAGAGTCTTAGACAAACTCGAGAGTTGCAATTACTAAAGGAAGAAGATTGAATTTCTGAACCTATTTTAATTATTTTTGAAAGGGAAAATTAACAATAGAAATGATCCTAAGAATTAGGCATAAAGATTTCCTTTATTGCGACATTACTCGAAAGTTTAGGTATTCATGCTTCGGAGTTTGTGACCTGGCCGAAATCACCAGAAATTTAGCTAGTTTAGTAACTTTCCAACTTTCCATTAGAATTTTTTGAACAATTTTCGAGAGGTACAGAGATTGTGATAAATACCAAAAATCAGCTAGATTGGACTTATAATTTGTTCGTCGTAAATTCTTATTAATCATAATGCAAAGCATAACTTTCTTGTGATCCACATGAAAGTATTCCACGTTGCTGTTGAGCATCTGTAATAACTGGAAACAGGAACTGACTACATTAAAAATGATGCCCAAAATTTTGTTAAGATTTTACTTTTGCTTTAGACTAAATTTATGCATGTTTAGATTTTGCCTTTTGCTTCAGACAAAAATAAATTCTATACAGTTCTGTGAAATTTCAGCATTTTATCTATCAACCAATGAGTTTTTTTCTTCACTTGATTGGTTGCAGTGATAAAGCGTGACCTAGCTGGTGTTGGCAAAGTTAGATGAGCCTTCATTCTTTTAAATATACTTTAACAAGCTTAATTTTGAGGTCATCATTTTTTTGTACAGTGGCAGCCAGTGGTATTTTTTTGGCATGGAAAAGTGTACTACGGGAAACATTATTTCGTTAGATCTAAAAGAAATTTGGCTGGGTAATTTAATATTCAGCTAAGCGATGAGAGACTACAAGGCAACCGTTTTGAAATAATTAAAATTTCAGAAATTTACCAAACAAAACGATAAAATATATGTTACCGCATCTGTCATCTCAAGCATCAAGGAAAATGAAAAAAGGAATAAAAAAGATGGCTCATCTCCTCCAAGTAACGGTGAACAATTACCAAGCACTTCTAAAGTGGAAAAAAAATCTCAGTTGAAGTCTGTTTCGCATGCACCAAGTGGAAAATCGGGTGATCTAAGAGGAAAGTATAAGAAAGGGTGCTTGGGTAATGAGCATTCCAAAGAGAAAGAGAAATCTGCCACATTTTGCACGAAAGAATGTAACGAACTGAATGATGAACCTGATGATGATGACACCGCTACAACACAATTGCGCGAATTAAAGAAAAAAGTGAACGACGTTGCTATAAGTATTACTGGTAATAATAACATTCAAGTCGATAATATGCGAAGCAAAATTGCGAAAAATTCGAAATGCAAAGACGGCGAGGCTTCACTGATAAAGAAATGTAAAAAGGATACAACTGCAGGCAATAAATCAATTGATGGAGTACAGGTAATCGATTTCCTTTTTTAGTACTTTTTTCTTTAATAGTCAGAGGCTCAAAACTCAGAGCAGTTATTATATGGAGATAATATTTTATTGTTTTATTTTAACAGTAATGATTTTATTAGTGGATACATAAAATAGAGCAGTTTTGTATCTGGCTCGAGATATCTAATGCAGGAGCGTATACGCGACCACAATTATCATACAGCCGTAAGTCATAAGTGGACGCACTGATTTTAAGTATGAATAAGTCAAAATTGCAAATAATTGATTTCCACACTTCAGACAGTTAGTATCCAGGAAATCTGTATACTAGTGACTTCTATTAATTTGCAAACCTTTTTTGCAGTTCTCGCATTCACTTGGCTTCAAATTCTTTTTCTTTGCCCACTTGTTGGCCATCTTTCCAGTATTTGTTATATAAATTTTAGGAAGTTGGTGATTTTGTTTGCTGCAGAAGCCATACAGCACCAATAAAAAAAACAGTATTAGAGAAGAATGACGATGGTTCATATAAATGCGCCAATTACTATTTGGATGAAGTTGCTCGACCGTTAAAACATAGAGCTGACAAAGAGGTGAATCTCAACAAATTTTGATGGTCTCATTTCGAGTTTATGAAGTTCTCTTCTATTCATATTATCAAGTTTAATTTGATGAAAATTTCTTAGAGTGGTGACCACATACGAAAGACTCTTGCTTATATGGATGCCGCCGTATACTTCATACTTTCATCAGCCACTGAACGAGAAAACAGACAACGACAATATACGATAGCACGAGATAGTGCTGAATTGATGAAGTGGATTTTGGATTTGAAACTTTCAGTTTTCTTAAGAGTTTTTTCGTAAATCAAATACATTGGTGACCTGAGTCTTCGCTTATCCTGAGCCCTGTCAACAGTATTACCTGCGGTACTTTTTTGAGCAGGAACAAGGAATGGTTGAGGTACTTTGTTGAATTAGTGATTCCTTATATTGTCTCGAATTGCTATAGCTCGCGAACTCCGGCTATGTATTGGATATCATAATGATTTGATTTTTTTAATTAACTGATCAACTTTTTATGATATTAATAAGTGTTACCTTCAGAACGATTATCAAGTGGTCAGGTGCATCACCAACTAGTCTCTCATCGTTGGAACGACATTTCATTAGTAGATTCAGAATATTATCATCTCGCATACAAGCTGTGCTAAATTACTATCTGTATTCGCTGAAAATGGGAGTAAGTCTAATAAAGTTCCTATTCTAATATGTCATGAAAATGATAAACAAGAAAGGTCGCTGCTTCATCTTGCTTGCATACCGCAATAAATTGACTTAATTTGTACAGTTAGTCTGCTTAGTGCCATATTTGTAGTTTGGGTATATATGAAAAAATTATTTCTAATGCGTTAGTGTGCACCACAGCATTTTGAAATGTAGAATAGGCTCGACCTCTAAAACTGTAAATGGTATTTGATATTACTGATGAGTATAGATTGTGTGTTTTAAGGTTGTTGATAAACTCCAATTAACGAACATTTGATAAGGCTTCAGTGTTTGTTAAATTCGATATATAGTATGAATTTTGGTATTCTTTTAATGATGTAATTTCATGGAATTTATGCTATTCTTTAAGAATCTTGATTTTTTAAATATTCAGAGTTGTATGTCCAACTTTGGCGCATTGACGAAGTGGGAACCGCAATTGACTGAATTGGACGCTGCAGCAATACGCAACGACGGTGCTGCATCAGTCGGTTCACAGGGTGGTTCATCTGGCAATACAGAAACTCCTTCACCGGCTTCATCAACAAACAGTGGCCATGGAGAACGTCAGAAGGAAGTGAGTTCTTGTTAGAATATCAGTTTGTCTCACGACAAAAAAAGTCAAAAGAGACTTCAAAAGTTGCATAGGCAGATGTAGTATGATTTAAGATTAAAATGTAATATCTAAAAAATTTTGAGTGTGCATTGACTGTGTTCACTGCTTTTCTTTCTTGAAGAAATTCATTCTAGATCAATATGCCAGTTTATATTTATCAAACGCAACGTTCGCAGCTTAGCATCCTTCACCACTTAATGTGGTCCGATCGGTTGTGGAAGCAGACATCAACCAAAATGAACAGCACTGAACAAGGTTAGTGATGCGGCTTAAATTTAAACTCTAATTTTTAATGGATTATCTTGTGTGTTTCATACTGTTGCAGAAAAATCGTAAAATATCTCTTTTCCTTTGCTTTGCTCTATTGCTCTACTTTGCATGCAAAATATGATGCTTTATTTCTGTTTAAAGAAGACAAAACATTTAGGAATTTGAAAATCTATGTTGGTCAGATCGTTCTATATTTTAGATTGAATTCATTAAGCTGAGTAATATAATTTAGAATAAAGTCCAATATTTAAAAAAGACTTCAATGAGCATTCAAGATTATTCGAATTGTTAAGCCTAAATCGGTTTTTGGTCTTTCATTTCTTTTGCAGAGATGGTAAAACATTTGGACCAAATATGTGGACCACTTACTGTTGACTTCAACTTACATTCATTGTCAGAATATCTGGCTACAGCAATAACATGGCTTCGTGCGGAATACCGTGCAGAGAAGGAGCGATTATCACCGTCGTCACTATAGACGGAATTTTCTATCAGTACGAGGTTTAATTGTGCAGGGTATTGTTTTCATGTAACCCTCATATTTATTCTTTTTTTTTTGCCGTATCATTTTTTTTGGTATCTTGTAAAAATTTGCCGTCTTAGATATTAAATTGATGACAAGTTGGCATTTCAGTGAAATCGTTTTAGTGAAAACTCAAGTTCTTAGTGAAAAATTTCATGATTTCCCGTTTAGAGTGTATTTGAATGGGTTGTTCAGTAAAAATTTTAAATTATTCCCTCTGCTGGTATATATTGTCTGAGTAATTCGATTTTGATTTTTAATTCTGACCCACCAATCCAGGAGTGCATCGGTTGTCAGTCATTCTATTCACAAATTTTCTCCATAAATTATTTTTGTGCATATAAGTTTGTTACGTCGTTTGTACACATTTCCTGACTGAGGAAAAGACCTCTGTGACAGTTTTCCCATTCAATTTATGAGCGTCTCGGATTTCAATTATTCTTGATTTCCTCAAGTTTGCGAAGGAAAATTGGTCTATGCCACACTGATTTCGTTATGTACAAATATCTCAATATATTTCTGGCTAAAATCGCTTTTAATGCTTTTTTGCATGTTTATTTATATTATTTGGGGAAAAGTTAGATCACCTGTGTCTTTGTTTTCTTCCATAATTTAAATCCTTAGTCTTACGTTTGTGGCGCTGGTTCATATCATATACATCTCAATGATTAAATAATATGTTCTTTGTTTAAATCTTTCGGATTTAAATATTATTTTTGTTTTAAAGGCACATTTCTAGGCAGCTGGTTTTTCGTTTTTTTAATGCTTAATTTTTAAAATGTTTGAAATTTCCGTTTCAAATTGATAATATGCATTGTTGTACATATTTTGCGTTCATTCAATGATTCTGCGATAATTCATGGGCAGTTCGTTTTAATTAGTTTTGAAAAATAATGTCGGAATTAATCATATGCCTCTGAAATTTCTTCTGACAAGACTGTTTGGCGCACTGGGGAATCGGAAGTTTGTCCTTATTTCTGAAGTTTTAGACGCAGCTTTCTGCACCGAGTACGGTTTCCGAGTTATATTCTGAAAGTAGCAAAATAATCCAGTAAGTTTGCTTTCTCATCCCCAATCTGAGAACTTATAATTTCAGGAGCATATAAAGTTTTAGTACTTCCCGATTTGCCAGAAGCATTGATCATTTTACAAAGCCAAATTGTATTGATTGGTTTAGAATCCACAACTCTGTCCTCTTTTTCATATTTTGTAAGCTATATGAAGTTTCATTCTGGGCATTGGTATTTTTCTTCATCTTTGACAACTTTATTTAGATTATATGAAATTCTTTCGCGTTTTCCACTTCAGAACTTCTCCGTCTTATGAGTTTTCCTATGAGAAACCGGAATTTGAAATTTATTTGCTTAGTAAGTACTGCAGAAGCTTTTTCTAGACATAATTCTAGTAGTAAATTGAGCTCTTCTTCATTGCAGAACGAATGATTTTTAGCTAGCTAGAATTACTTTTAATGGATAAATGGTCGCATTTACTTTTATCCAGTCATGAATTTTATTCGTGAATTAAACAGGGTTTTTGTGGTTGTGAATGTTTGACGGGTGATCGTTGGTTTACTGATTTGTATGAATTGCAAGATAGTCGTACCCATGAATAGGAATTTATACTGCGATGAACTATTTACTGCGTCCTGGAAATTATCCATTTTCTATTTTATGCTCTCTGCTCCTTCTTTCGTTTTAAAATAGTGCTAATAGTCGGTAATCTTTCGACTGCGGTGGTTTTTTGGCTACAGTGATTTCATCCAAAATATTATGAACATAATTGCCGTGACGTTTTTTTGCGCTTATATTTTTCTAGCAGTTTGCTTCTTGTATGCTGCTTTGACAAATTATGTATGTAAATGTTCACGTGCTTTCATTTATTATTTCTGTCGTTCTTTCGTTTTTTCCCTTTCTCTTTCAACAGCTGAAATTTATGTTGCAGGAACCTCTCATCCATTCCAATTTTTAGAATTGATAGATTTTCAGAATTCATTTGGTTATGCAAAGTATTTCTATGAAGAATTGCAACGAAATGAATTTACATCTTTGCGCTTCGTGCGTTGTCATATCACGTTCTCAGTTCCTGTTCAGTTTGTGATATTGTAGTGCGGATCGAAATCATTCTTGTGAGGGTTGTTTTTCTTCTTGTAATGATATTGTGTTAAATCCTGTTTTGCTGTGCTCCCAAACTCACCTTTTGAAGTACCTTTTTTGAATTCAAGTTTAGTTTATTTCCTCTAAGTTTTAAGTTTCAAACCTGGAAAGTGAATATATAAATTGTTTTGAAGTGTGTGTGTTTTGCACTTTTTATATCAGTGATGCGCTTGCTATTGTTTTACGGCCCTTTTCATTTTCCCTTAGATTTTTTCCTGTAAAACTTAATTGGACATTCAAGAGGCACTTTTGAAAATGGAATTCAGTCTGTTTGTGGTGCCGGTAAGACGCGAAACACTGTTTACGTTCATTAACGTTTCTATTTCTACGCTTGTATTTCGAGTTTGTTTCTTCGTGCTTAAGGTAAAAATTTGTGAATCACTTTCATTTGGTGTTATGTGTTATGAGTGGGTAGTAGGAATATAAAGTATTTGCTTTTCACCCTCAATAAATTCGACCTTAAGTAGACGGAGGCGTTGTCGTCATGGTGACTCTACTGCGTTCACTTTTCTTTTGGGAAATTGCATGGTGGAGAGGGTTCTTGATGTTAGAATTTGGAGATTTGATATCTTTTGAGGAAATGTGAGTTGGAGAGGTTTCAGGATCAGGCAATTCGTAATCCATGAAGAAATCAATCGTTACCCCATGTGGGGATTAACGGCATGCGGAAACAATTTTGAATTCACGAAGTCATGGAAGTTCAAGATTATGAGAGATTAAGAAGAAAGATGTGACGACAGAATCATCTACAGAATTGCAAATGTGATTTTCAGTACATGGAATTAGTAGTAATATGGAGTATCAAATCAATTTATATAAAATTTGCATATAAATAAATACTCATTCTATTTGGAAAACATGTCTAAAGAAGCTGCTTCAGCTGAGGTAAATTTTGAAAGGAAACGAATTTGAAAGTAAATTTTGCGTTTAAGAGTCTTCCGCTCTATGGAAATCATTCGTGTTTCAGAATGAATCAATAAAAAGTCATCAATATGAGAATACTGAGTAAAAGTGCTGCTCAATGAAACAGGTAATAGTAGGAATTTACTGAGAATTCTGATGGCAATGAAACAAAAAACTGGATGCATTGTCAGTCCAACAGATAAGGAACTCCTCTACATCTGGTGGATTTATGCAGTGTCTGATGAAACGGCTGCAACATTACGAATTGATATCTTGCCGTGTTTTCAATCTCACATATCAGCAATTTTTTATTTAATCAAAAACCAAAACGAAAGTATGAAACTCTAAGAGAATGGGGAAGCGGAAGTAGAAAGGGGCCTAAACATAGTTATAGGAAAGGCCATGATCGCTTTTCGAATCCTTGTGAGATTACAAGACATACTTTTTCAGGGGTCACTCTACGTTCATTCCTGTTCCTCTTCATCATTTTATATTCATTTCTGTTAAAACAAGTGAAACAAATGACGTAGGAAAAATTAAAACAAACATCAGTCCAGGAAACAATGTATCTGTAAAAATAACACTGTTTGAACTTGTATTTACAATCCACATTTTATAACTGCCAATTATAGATCAAAGTTTTTTTTACTATAACAAGAAAAACAACAAAATGGATATACACACCTGAGTGCACTGGTACCAGAATGCGAGGGAGATTCGTTACTCAATTTTCGATGTTTTTCGAGACATGAATTTCGACTTTAAACAACTTTCGTCTCAGCTTAATTTCCGAGGATTCTTGGCAGAATTATGGCAATTTTGAAAACCACATCGAAATTGTCTATTTATTTAATTCTATATCAGAGTATTTTGCTGGGAAGGGAATGGCTAAATTCGTATCAGAGACAGATAAAATTTTATGATTCTTTGAATTTCCCGTCTTTCCAATTCCTTATCCACTGCCTGTGGATGAAAACCCAACTGCAGCTGTACCAAACACACTTCATTCGACAAGAACTTTTCTATTTATTTTTATGAAACTTCGAAATAATGCTGAAGACTTTTCACTCTTCGGCATCATTTACTTCCTGTGGCTGAACCATTTGCTGGGCATGTGGTGGCGGTACTCCCATTTGCATCATTCCACCTTCAACAGTTGCCATCATTGGCATTTTCATAGGTGTTATTGTTTGCACTGGTGTTCCCTTGTAGTTTCGCATCTCCTACAAATTAAATTCACAAACTCTAAATTCCAGAACTTGACAAAAATCAATATAACCAGTTAAATGAAATTGAATCAGTTAGATTTTCTTCATCACTATTTCTTTTGAACGACTTTTCCTTTTTTCTCATCACAAATTTCTTCGAACAAATTTTTAGGATCTGCTTTAACGCGATAAGAATGATCGAATAATAAGTTATATAATGACAAAATGATCCAAACTTGTAAAGTCTTCCAAAATTTTCGTTTTTAATTAGATACCTTTATAGGTTTACAGAAACAAGATTAGTGATAATACCTCAGCGTATCGTTCTTTATCTTCCAGTGCTTTTCGTTCGTATACAGCTCGTTCTTCCTCACCCAGTGCTTTCCAGAATCGACCCAACTCTTGTGCTACCTGCCCAACTTTCCATTCAGGATGTTGTTGTTGCACTTCAGGCCGCTTGTCATGGGAGAAAAAAAAGAAGGCTGACCTGAAATCCACATGTTAGCCATTTGGATTCTGTTTTGCATTTTAAAAATTGAACCTTTGGACGTACAGTTCCGAATTTCGAATAATATTTATAATATGCTCCGATTTTATTCGAACTGACTGTTATTCTCTAAAAAAACTGTCCGACTTTGACAATTGGAAGATTGAAATACCAGCTTACAAGGCTCGCTTCGGTGCGTTCGGATCTTTCTTAACACGTTTTCGTTTGCGTAACGCATCCTCCCCACCGTATGCAGCAACTTCGGCTTGATAACGTTCTGCGTCTTTTTGTGCCAGCTCAAAGAACCTTCGTTTTTCATCATCGGACATGGTCTGCAGTTGAAACAAAAAATCCAGGTGAAACTTTACAAATTTAGATGTTATTTTTCATTCAGACAATCTAATCAAGACGAAATGACATAATTTTCTGGTCAGCTTTTGCCTTTACACTCTGCACCACCAAAACGAGATCTCCAAGTTCTGTAGAGAAATCCATTGGATTAATAACCTCAAAGTGATTGGAAATCTAACAGTTCGGAACCTCAAATTAAGACGAAACTGATATCTGTACCTGATGCAATTAATGACATGATTAAATATAACTGTGGGGCGTTTTGTCCTTCAAAGTCCTTAGTGAGTTCTTGAAGTTTCGCTGAACAGGATCTTACCCATCACCTACAGCCCTAGTCACCCTTATATTAGCCATACCCTCAACGAGAGGATAGATGGGTTCAAAAATGTTACCTTCCATTTCTCTGAGCACTTTTTGCTTATTTCAGTCACTTGAACGTTTTCATTTGGATATTTCTTTTTATGTTCTTCATAACACATTTTCACAAAGAATCCATACGGTGATGTTTTGCCACGTACTGGCGGTTTCGCCGATTCTCGCATTTTACTTTGACCAAAAATGATTGCCTATAAAATTTCAAAATTCTTTTAAAACAAATGAAATGAGGGTGGATTTGAGAGAGCAAGAGAGGGAGAGAGGGAGAGAAAGTAAGAGCTCTATTCAGCGAAAAAAAAGGAATGCAATTACGGTAAACAAACAGGCGCATGAGATAAAAACATTCCAAGATTCGCAGAGTGAATGAATGTACCTCAAATAAACTTCCCACACCCGTTATGGTAACAAGGGGATGAACACTTGACCAACCTCAATGTTTTATTAGAGCCTCCAAAGCTCATTAATTTACATCTTTCAAGGGCAAAACATTTTGAGTATTTCTTGCTTAATTTTACTTAAGGGAAGCGATTTTGTCGCAGTTTTGCCTTCCATTCAGTGAGCATAATGTTATTGTGTAATAAAGTCTAGGAATCAAAGGTAAGCAACCGTCAGTAACATCTGACAATCGCATGAAGTCACCATTGCAAAGGACCGAGCCAGCAACGTGCGAGCGAACTAGTTATTAAGTTGTTGGCTAAATCCTTGAATTACTGATCGGTATGATCCAAGGACTTGGTTTTGTAGTTATCGTTTTTCAGTAGCCTTCAAATAAACAATCATTGGCCGCAAGGAGCCGAAAAAGAGAGGAGATGCTTCGATTGAAAGATGATTCTGACAAAAAGAATAAAGTAAAGTTAAGGCTAAAATCAGTGAAGAAGATAAACAAATCCTTTTAATTGTCCACCCTTCTAAATAAGTTTCATCTAAATCAGTTCATGCTCCTGACCCTGCCCCTCCTGGACTCCACAGTTGTCATCCTGTCCTTGCTCTTATAAATTCTTCTCTGTACTTGAAATCAGCCGAGTTCGGAGCTATAAAAATTTAAAAACCTATTACAAACTGATGAAATATTCTCAGCAATTTTAAAATCACTCAAGCAGTGCTGCTGATTAGAGTACTGTTCAATGAAGATTGACCTCAAATTCGTGATACTCGTTTTCAGAAGGAAAAGCTTTTAGTTGTTGGAAAGAGACGTATAAAATTACAACACTCTCAAATCCATTAACGATGAATTTGAAAGTTTAATTGCCAGCCATTCATTCAATGCTGCATCAACAGGATTGAACTGAAATGAGCAGTTGAGTCAATGAAGAGATGAGTGATCAGTCCCGAAAGCAGCTTTGGTCGTCAACCTTTTAAGAATTCTGTTCAAAAGCTCCTAAAGCAGTAACATGACTGTTCGTCAACGCTCTCTTCAAACAGAAGCAGTACCGCTACAACCACAAGCAAGTTAATGCAACCTATTTATGGAAAAGATCAGACTGAATGTTCTCTTTCTTTCCCGAATTCTCTTCAGTCAGTTCCAGCGGTAAGTGTCCCTCTCTGATTGCATGCTAATTTCAACCTTATTAAATTTCAAATAGTACTATAACTATAACCACATTAATGATAAGAGTGCTAACAGTCCCTATTGGTAGGCTATTTCGAACTCTCAACTTTATATTATAGCCACAAACAAAACAGAAGCAACGTCCTCATCGCTGCACAGGAAAGCACCGACAGCTGAATCAAGGACTTTCTTCCACTCCCAATTCGTCTGGAAGCTTTTGGTAAAGATCTGCAGCAGTCTTCAAAATGATTTTGTGTTACAAACAGAACCAAATAAATCCTAGTAAACCTAGAATCAGATAGGAAAGTATAGGAAGATTCGGAGACTTTGTACGTAGGTCCAAGAATTATTTATCTGGTTTTTTTTTTTCATTGCAACTATGCGCTTTTGATTAGTAACGGCAACTGCCGGTTGGTGAATAAGCGGGAAGTCAGTAAGTAAAATGAGAGGACACCTGCGGATAATAGAACCTTTCCCACAACTTCTAGAAAAACCATAGAATTTCAACACTGAACAGAAATATAGGTCACAAATGATATTAATTTGACCGAAGCTCCAAAAAACAATAATTTTGTGGAATTCAAGATTTTGGAATGCATTTCACGTAAAATCTGACATCTTGGAAGTTGCAGCTGGACATTAAATGAACTAGGTTAAGGATCCATCCGGGTGAAAAGTGACCGGCTCTGTTGTCCCCACTATAGTACCACTTTAGTTTCATATCCAAATTCAAACGTGCTCACGGAACGACTGCATGGACCAAGTCCCTTAATTTCAAGTCCTCCTGGAATAAATTCCACAAGGCCTGGCCAAGCCAATGCCTGACCTCTGTATGACCTCATTTGGTACATCACACATAATGATAAATATACAAAATCGCTATTATAATAGTGGAAGATAGGTGGAAGAGAGTGACGAAATAGTATGGCGAAGAGGGAGAACAAGCGAATGCATGGTCGGAGAATGCAGAGAACGGGGCTCTACCAACGAAGGCCGTGTCTGCCCCGCGATGCTCGCAATCCAAACACACATACACAATGGGTGGACTTTCTATCTGTGTATACATGTATGTATGTATGTGTATACGCATGTGTGTACGTGCGTGCACCTATGTATCTATGTATGTATGTTTGTATGTATGCTGTACTTATGTATATACGTGTATGTATGGATGCATGTATGTGCGCATGTATGTATGTATGTATGTATGTATGTATCTATATATGTATATATATATATATGAACGTATGTATGCATGTATGTATGTGCATATGTATGTGTGTATATGTGTGTGCATGTATGCATATGTGTATGTGTGTATATATGTATGTATATATGTACGTATGTATACGAATGTACGCGTGTATGTGTGTATGCGCGTATGTGTTTGTACATGTGTGTATGTGTGTGTGGCATGGCATACTATGCACGAGGATGTGTCTGTACCTCTGACTCCCTGCATACTATGCACGAGGATGTGTCTGTTAACCCCTGACTCCCTTCCCCTTCTCCTCCTTTAATAATGATGGATCAATACACTTTGGGTGCACGCGGAGGCGATCTTACGCTGCGCATATGTAACTCGCATGCTTCAAATTACCGCCTCTCGCTAATGGCATGTCCCGCTATGAAAAATGTTTCTCACGGGCTACTCATTTACTTATCATTGTTGCCTGTTGCGTGTGACAAGCATTGTGTCCGGTTACGGGTAATTGTTTGTATACCAGAGAAGAGCTGGGTGATGAGTATTGCCCAGCAACCATCGGGTTAGATCGGTTGATCAGAAACTGTCACAGTTACTTGTCCCAGAGATAGGTGCTTGTTGACTTGGCATTCCGTATTTGTTTCATATTGTTCGTTTGGGTGGCAGTGAAATCTAATAAAATGTGTTTAAAGGAGTTTATGATGACAGATGAGAAAGGACTGAGACGAGAATACCCGCTGCATTGGGCTGTTTTCCGGAATGATTATGAGAATTTGATGATATTGCTGGAAGAAGAGCATGCGGGTGAGATCGTTAACAAGCTCGATGTGAGAGGTAAGTGAGTTATCAATTTGTGGATTGCATTCCATTCATTCATTTACTCCAGGTTTCAGATAGTCAGTTCAGAAGCAAACGTGGAGTAGAGTAGGGTGAGGCGAGGACTGTTAGTGAATCCGCGTAGATGGATGTTAGTTTTTCCTTTGAGATGATTCCACACCTAGGCCGGTGAGCTTCGATGAATTCGGTAGATTTATCCACCTGTGTTTGGTGTTAGAAACTATTCTTTAAACTCGACCTCCATTTTTCAGGTCGCACACCTTTGATGTTAGCCATTACCCTTGGCCATTATGAATGTGCTCGAGCTCTGCTGGAAAAAGGAGCCAATGCTGCTATTCAAAATGCAGGTACATTAATCAGCTGATGTTAATCAGGCGAGTCAAGTTGGCTCATTTCAGCTTCGCATCTAAAATAAGAAAAGGGTCGGAAAAAGCTTTCCTCGCTTAAGGATCGATGTATCATTAAAAACGGACTTTGTGCTACCTCCTATTCGTACCAACTGCGAATCCACTGATTCCTCGTCCTTCACTTATGCAGATATGTGGTCGCCTAGTCATGAAGCTATTTGTGCCGGAAATAGTGATCTTTTACGGTTAATTATCCAGCATCGAGATTACCAACGAGCTTTGCAGACAAGTTGTGCAATGGAACGTTTACTCACTCTGTTAAAGGTATGCAGTTTTCATCGTCGGGTAATAATTTGGCATTGGTATAGGAAAGAGAGCACTATGCTTGTATCCTTCATCATATATTAATATTAATATTTTTGGTTAATTTTTTATCAAGATGGTAAATGTAATCTAAATAATAAGTGCAACAAATAGTTCTTCACTGTGGGCTTTCAGTTTTAATATATTGGAATCCATTTGATATCTATAACTCATCACAGCCTTTTTAGGTTTAACTGATTAAAAGTTGTAGCATGCTTATTTTCAGAAAACAGGCGACTTTTATGTAGAAATGGGTTGGGAATTTACTAGTTGGCTACCATTTGTTAGCAAAATGTGTCCTTCCGATACTTATAAGGTATCATTTATTCATTTTCCAAAACAGTTAGTATGTGCTTCAGTAGAAGAGATATATTAAAATAATTTTATAAAAGCTTGAAATCCTCTGTATTGGAGAAGAACAAGGTGAAAGTTAGATTGTTTGGTTCGTTGGTGAAAATAAGCAGTAGTGTTAATAATGTACTATATTGGATCAAGTTCCACCTACTGCTTACCGATTGGAACTGACATTTTACTTAGATAAAGACAATTTTGCTACGCAGAATGTTCGTGCTTATTTGAAAATTCTCGTTTAGTGAGACAATAATTCAGTGTAGTTCTTGTAATATTTAGATCGAATTTACTTGCCAGCTAGCATTTGCAATTAATTTCGATCCAAATTTTGATACGATAGTTCTGCAGATTTATAAGCGAGGTTCAAATGTTCGCATTGACACAACATTGGTTGGTTTTGATATAACATCAAATTGGAAACGCGGCAATCAGTCCTTCATATTTCGTTTTACCGATAATCATCAAGCTCAGTTAATTGTCTTAGAACATGACAGTAAAACGGTAGAGTCATTGTTAATTAAGATGTTTTCCTTTCCTATTCATTTATTTATTTACTTTTTTTTGAGAAAAAAAACCGGATCTTCTTTTCAGCTTTTGAGGATGAAACTGTTATCTACATAAATTTATTAGTCTTACAAAGTTTTTGTTAATTTGTTAAATGCGTTTCAAATAATGAAGGTAACCCATTATACGTAATAGTTCATGTTATATATATATATATATATATATGTATATATATATATATATATATATATATATATATATATATATATATATATATATATATA